CGAGGACCACGAGACGCAAATGCGGGAAACGCTCGCAGAGCGCGGACACGGTAAGGGTCTCTAGAAGGGCGTCGATATTTTTCCTCGCCGTGCGTCCGACGTGGCTATTTGAAATGACGAGTTCGGTGATGCAAGAAAACTTCCCCAATATCTGGGCAGTTATATCAGCATGAGGAAATATTTGGACGCAAAGCCTTCGCCAAGGGCATGCTGAGCGACTATGAAATGATTCGAGATGGGGTAGAATATCGTTGGCTGTATTGTCTTTCGCGAGTGGGAATGCGAGTTCTTCCAGAGCGGGAGCCACGATGTAGTTCAAGATTTGGGGATTCGAGACAAACAGACGGCGAAGGCGGCGCAGGATAATGATTTCATCTGTATCTGGCCACTGGTTGTCATCGAACTCGGCGCTGATATCGATATGGACTTCGACGAGGTTTGTGGCCAGTTTCAACGTGTTTTTGTGCCAGTCCCACGGGGCATCGATATGATAACGGGAGAGTTGGTATGTGGGGAGGGCAACCGGTACAAAGAGATATTGGCTGGAGATCCCGACGTCGACGAGAGAGGGGGCTGTGAGGAAACAATCCAAAGGTTCAAAATCGGTTAGGCTTTCCGAACCATTCCAATCGATCCACAATCTTTTCAATGATGAGAGTCGGCCACGGAGCTCGGTTAGAAGTGGGACGATTTGGGAAATTAGAATGAGACTGAGCTCTTCCCATCGTAAGGAGTGCTGGAGTAGAAGCTGGAACATCTGAATTTGGGGACCAGGGGCGACGTCCTCGGAGCCAGAAAAATGTATCTTCAGGCTCTGCCGGTGGGCGCGTTGAATTCGAGCCTCAATGAGCGACAGTGGATGCGGAAGTTTGGTATCATCATAATCGATGACAACCTGCGACCACAACGAGGGATTCGAGAGGGAAACCGCCCTCCACCGACTACTGACATATGACAGTGTCCACGGGCTATCTGTGATCTCGGACTCGTCCCGAGCCTCGCTGATTGAGGGCAACGTCCACCAAAATATTTCGCCAAGCACCTCGGGTGGCATTCGCCTGAGGGGGGAGATGATCCCTTCATTGCGCGCCCGGTAGTTTAACAGCGATGACCGTTCTTCCTCCAGCTGTTTCAGGGTCTCCCGGATTTTCGATATTTCGTCGTCGATGCGTGCCAAGTGGGCATCCGCATCTGATATGAGCGAGCGAATGGAGGGTATGTCAGATTCTTCAGGCGGCTCATTGCTGTTCAAAAGCGTGTAATGCCGCGTTCCAGCGGCAATGGATAGAACGGGCGCGTTTTTTAGCGGACGAGTGGAAGATTTTGACTCTGAGTACCGACACTCGTTCATCTGCAGCTGTGCTACAGGATGGGCAAAATGTGTGTGAGAGAACAGAGACGTCCATACCCGACGCAAGGTTCTTCTGGGGACCCGACTCTGCGGCGAGAAATAAAAGAGAGAACAGGAAACCCGATTGATGTGGCGGCGCCGGCTGACGCCGGCTGCGTCTTCTTTCTTCACTTGAACGGTCAGTACAATTGATTCTCATTCGCCCTCATTCAAGAGTAGATTCGTACCCGCGTACGATATCTTTTTCGAAAACACCAGCATGCAATTGGGTTCGAAAAAATGAGACTAGAGCTGTTGAAGGGATACAGGGTCCGACTTTGCGTAAGAAGGAAGGGAATCATGCTGACTGCGATGTTACCAGTGGCTCGAGGCATTCCAAAACGCGTCCGAAGGGGACAAGAAACAACGCGCCATTCTCGCCCGTTACTCGCGGCTCATCGCCGCGAAGGTAGAGAAGGAGCACTGGAAGCGCCTCGTCCGCGCAGAAGTGGTACGCTCACCCTTCCCTTCCCTCCAAACGAACATCTACTGAGCCCACGAGCCAGGAATGGCAGGCACGCCTGCGCTCCCGCCCCATCCTAACAGGCACGCTCGTCAAGTCCACGCTCTACAACCCCCCCACTGCCGCGCATGAAGCCCCAACCCCCAGATCATCTTGACCCATATGCGGACCCGCATCCGGCGCGTGGCGCGCGCCGAGCAGCTCGACCAAGACCTGCACGACCTCCGGCGGGAGGCGGCGTTCGAGGACGACGTCGCGCGCGCCGCTGGCGGGCGCTTCTTCAAGCGGGTGTACTCCGGCGACGCGCAGTCCGAATGGCGTATGTGGTCCTGCTGGTTCTCTACCCTTTCCTGATGCGCTCCCGACAGTGCGCCCCCTACGAGCAGCGCGCGCCGAGCTGGAGGCGCTGCTGGCCCGCGACATCGCGCGGTCGAAGATGCCCGTGTCGCCCGCGCTGGCGGCTACGCTGCGTGCCGCGCGCCGCGAAAAGGTCGCGAACAAAACGCGCAAGCAGCGGGGGGAGATCCTGCGGTGCACGGTCAAGCGTGCGCGGCAGGGTCCGCCGGCGCACGTCCTTGTCCGGATGACGGCGGCGGAGCGGTGCGCGGACCAGATTATTCGTGGGGTTGGGGAGGCGGGGTACGTGGGGATGGTTAAGCGGCAGATGGGCGTGAAGCTGCGTGATGGGGGCAGGGCGCTGGCGAGGGAGAATGGAACGGATCTCGAGGGGGAGAGGTTGCAGAGGCTGAAGGAGATGGAGACCGAGTATTGGGTTGAGAAGAACCGGCGTATATGAGGCAGAAGTTGGATGTGCAATGACGCCCGCCGGAATTCTTCCTTCACCCCTACTAATTACGCCTGGACCGCGCAACACCTTTGGCACCTTCCACCCCCGGATTCTGCCGTTGCCCGCCGGGACTTCTCTATCTTATGCGTCCAGAGCACTCGACATCACACCGTCCTCTCCTCGCAACAGGTGATTTGGCTGCTCTTAAATGGCTCTGAATTTGCGCCCTGAGCGGGAATTCTTTGCTTAACCCCTCCCAGAGCTGGAGAGATGCATGCATCGAAGCCATGACCGGGTACCTGTGATTCATCGGGGCCCTTGATAGTATCTTTATACGCCGTAGCTATACATCTAGAATACGGTGCTACAATAAATGAGGGAAACGACGTACATGTGGCTGTGCTATCCGGAGTTCTCTACTCCTTCATTGTCGACTGCCAGTGGCTTGTGGAAACAGCCGCACTAACGGAGGTCATGCTTGCCCCTGCTTAAATGGACGAACTTTGCGCAAAATATGGCAACTTTGGCGATGCGAGTCGGCTCAAGCGTCCTGAAGTCGACCTAGGGGCCTGGAACACGGCATTTGCCCGCTTTTGCGCCCTCCAGAGACACCCAGTCGCGCTGTATTCTCCCCGTGAACCATGGAATTTCTGAGACCTGCCCTGATCCTTCCGCCCTACGGATCCGGGTCTCTGCCGCGTGGAATATATTGTACTGCCTCCTGGCTCCCCTTGCCCGACGCAATCTCGCCGTGCCTGAACCACCTTTGAGATCGAGCCCCGCTTCACCGACGGAATCGCTGTCTCACTACCTCCTAGTTGCTCGATGACGGATGGCGGAAGAATATTCTGGCGCTGTATATAACGAGGGGTGAATTGTGGGCGAATTGTGAGTACTTTCGCTGCCTGTCCGCCAAACCCACGCCATGACTTCTTCAAAAACTATCCCGCAGCTCCCCGTTGAACTCATTACAGAGATAATATTCGCCGCATGGCACATGCCGCTGTCTCCCAACGAGCGCATCACCCTCATGCGCTCCTCTACGCTCGTAAATTCGACCTGGGCGGACATATTCGACCTCGTATCCTCGCGCGACGTCTACATCCCCTCCGCAGCGTTCTGCAACCATTTTGTGCAGCGTTTACACGCCCAGCCCCCCGCTGTCGCGCCTTCCTCTTTCTTTGGACCGCTCCTGGACCTATTCCGCGGCCCAACAATGGAACCGCCTATCCACCCCGCACCCGGGTCCGCGAACCTCGCGTGTCAGTCACTCACCATCCAAATCGCCAACGACTACGTCCATCCCGCCAAAATCAGCCCCATGCGCCTGCCCATGGGCGGAGTGCTCGACTCCCTCCTCGAGCGCCTAGACGCGTGGTCGCTCGCGCCGAATCTCCGCCGTCTGGCAATCGAGTACGTCGACACCGGGTTTGACGACATCTTCAACCGGGATGGGCTCGCGGCGCTCCCCAGGCAAATCACGCATCTCGACTTGCGCTATTCCTTCAGCGCCGCGACGCCGCCGTGGCTTGTAGAGTCGCTCCGGAGGAAGCAGGAGAGGCGGCGGCATTTCGGATGGAAGGCGCGGGATATAACGCGGTTGTCGGTTGTCGGTGCCGGCAAGAACACGATTAGGGACTTGTTCGTGGCGTGTCCCAATGTCCGGATTTTGGACGAGGGACGCGGTTCTGTACCGGTTTGATTTGGGTTTGATATTATTCAAGTTAGAATAAAATGCTCGGCCTTCTGCCTCTCTGATTGGGTCCTGGAAAGTTTATTGCCACGAAAGCTCTCAACTCTGGGTTGGTTTTTTTTTTTGCATAACAGGCGCGACAGTTGAACACTTCCGTTTTCTTCAAGTCGTCAAAAGCATCTCTTCGGGGCACTCCTCAAGATGGAAGTCCCTCCGTCACTCCCACAACCCTCGGTATTTCCTCTTGGGTCTTGACCTTTGTTTGTCGTATGTACGCGGGTGGAGCCGCCAAGGAGTCGCTTCAAGTTCACAATTACTCAATTACACACACTTGGCGAGCAGATCCTTCTCCATTCGTCGTCAACGAATAGATTTACGCTTAGGCTCGTCTATCGGCACAAACTTCAGAGTGGAGCCCTTTCGCGGTGGCGGTGCCCAAAGACTTCCAAAAAAGTATCTAGAGGACAAACAAACAACCGCCAGCGTCCAAAATAGGCAGTTTAGTGTGATCAATCGCGAGGGCATCGTTAGTTCGCAAACTGTTAAAGAATGAGTTTGTGGTGGACTGCGGGACTCGAAGAGAGTCCTAAATCTGAACTTTTCCAACCCTGGTGTTAAAAACAGGTATTCCCCACCTAGTACCTGCCTCCGGAAGACTACCAAAAATGGCGCGATGGCCGAGTGGTTAAGGCGACAGATTAGAATATCATCCTCATGAAGCAACTCATCTGTTCCGGTTTCCGGGCGCAGGTTCAAATCCTGCTCGCGTCGTATTTGGGCTTTCGAATTTTTTTTTGTCCAGCATGGAAAACCCAGTCAAGTGGATTCGCACACGACTCGGCAGTCACAACCCAATAGCCCAAAAAAGAACGTATATTCCGCAAACAAGTACATCATATTGATTTACATGAGAAAGATTCCGCTCGAAGCCTCGAGTTAAAGCGAGCGATTGTAGCTCGGCGCACCCATCTTGTCCCGGATCGTCTTACCGTGGAACATGAAGTAAACCACAGGCAGGAAGGTGACTATGCCGACGAGAGACATGGTCACGGCCATCCACTGGAAGCCGATTTTGGTACCAAGAGGACTGAGTGTAGCTTCAGCGCCCTGGTCACGACGAAATGAAAAGAAACTCACATCGCCCAGAAGCCAGCTAGGTAGGAGAAAAAAGAAAGAAGTGTGGTCAGAAACTGCCCGAATTGGCGCAACAGAGCCGACTCACTGGTCATTCCGACGGTCTGCCGGCCAAAGTTCAGAACTTGGGCGATTTCGGGGGTTTGAGGCCTGTAACAATCGGCGTTGTACGAATATATGACTGTCGAAATAATCCTAGTGCCCGGTTAGATGTTGAACGGCAGCGGAGTCACAGCACGTACTGGATGGCGAAGCACATGATACCGAAGCCCATCGTGGGTCCAATATACGGCGCTGGAATAACGTCAGACACGGCACATGCATAAAGGGCCTCGGGACGTACTCTTGTACTGAATACAGAAGCCCCAAACCAGGAGTCCGATCTAATAACCATTAGTTTCGTGATTAGGCACGAATGACGGAGTTGCTTACGGGTTGAAGGATTGCGCCCGCCCAAATGCCCTGCAGTCTGCGCAGGTGTAAGCAAGTCGGAACATCCGATCCGAAATCTGAACACCACATACCGGACCTCGGGGACAATCTCACCGTCCTTTTTGCCTTTACGACTGAGATACATCGAGCGATCAACGACGATTCCGCCGAGCAATTCACCCAGCGTAGATCCAACCAGAGTTCCAAGTCCAAGCGCCAGGCCGGTCTGCGAGGCGTTGAATTTGTACAGCTGACGAAAGAGGGTCGCGGACGTGACGGCCGGTAGAATGGAGCTGAGGGTGAATGTCACCGAATAGTAAAAGGCAGTCAGTAGGACGGTCGGGTATTTGAACCTGGAGGAACTTGTTAGTCGGTCTTGTGGAATATGGAGAGGACACGAGACGAACATGATGAATTGTCTGAAGAAATCGGAGGCCTTGAGGTGCTTGCCTGCGGGCCGGAGACCCCAAAGCTTCATCCTTCGAAGGATCGGCTTGTCCGTGACAACTGGTGTGGATCCCCGCAGATACAGCGTTTCCGGGAGACAGAAGAACATGACGACAAACATCGTGAAGTCGAGGATTGCGGGCAGGTAGTAGCACCACCTAGACAAGTCAGAATGAAATTTGGAGAGACACGGTAATGAACCAACGTACCTGTAGCTGACGAATTGGCCCAAGAAACCACCTATAACAGTATTCAGAATGTAGATAAGGAAGGTACAATAAGATCTTACCTGGAATAGGTGCAATGTGGGCCGAGTTTGTCAGGAAAACAGTGAATACACCCATGGCGCGACCTCTGGGAATGCTTCAGTACGTGATTGGAGGGCGAACATGATAAAATATTACCTCTCGTGAAGGAAAAAGGTGTCAGAAACCATGCCCGCGCCGAGGGTGAAGAAAGACGAAGTGCCAAGGCCATTAAGTACCTGATTTGCGCGTCAAGGGTGTTGACGACTGAGCTTTCATGAAGCCTACCCGAGTTGCAATCAGCTGGGACCAGGTAAGAGCTTTGCCGGAACCGAGCGAGGATGCAGCGGCGATGAGAGTAGTGAAAAGAAGGAGTGGACGACGACCGTATGTATTTGCAAGCGGTACCCAGACGAAGGACCCGATCCCGGCGAAAGCTTGCAATGCTTTGAGTTGGGCTAAAATTCTCGAAACGGTGACTTTACCTATTGCGATCGTGGTTTGGTAACTAGAGGAGAAAGTCAGGGATTCTGTGGGAAGTCTGTGCGAAAGGCTCACCTAGCTACGACAGTAGATACATGGAAGTGGGCCGCCAGGGGCACAAAGGCTGTCGATGCCAATCAACGAGTAAACTCAAGCGGTACATGCGAGCACTCACCAGGGTTGATTGTAGCTTGGTTCAAAGGACCGAGAAGGGCGAGGAAGCTCACTTGGAGCAGAATCGCAATCTTGTTTAGGATAGATGAGCAATAGTACGGACATCTAAAAAAACGAGCCTACCTTTAGCCACTGGGGAAAGTTCAAAGGATCGGATGGATCGTCTGAAGGCTGAGGAACGAGTGGAAGGCCCGTTTTGTCGAGTTTCAAAATCTGCCCGGGCTGGCCGAGGTTAATATGCACGTCTTCTGGAAAAAATCGAATCCGTAGAATCAATAAAAGCGAATATAATGGCGAGTAAAACCTACGAGACTCGGCATCTTGAACAGAGACGCTAATTTTCCGGTCGACACCCTGTCCAGAGGATTTATCGTCGATTGCGTCAATCTTTTCGGAGGACATTGTTCAAGTGGTCTCTGGCGGGGAGAACGCGGTCAAGGGAGAAAAGAGTGGACCCAAGTCCGAAAATGGGACAGCTGGCCTTCTTCAGTGTTAGCTGCCGGCGACTGTTGCCAAGTGACTGTGAGCGAATATGTCAAAATAAATTAAATAGAATTGGGGTGATGATCGTCCATTGCCAATCTTGTCCAACAAGTTGCGTTTCGGCTAGCTAGGGGGAGACGGGTGCTTTTGGATAACCCCATTTCTTCTGGAGGATATCCAGTTGCCGCATGCGTATGTTGTCTTTCGAGAGCGAATATCCCGGGGGCCCAATTGCAATAATATCCAGTCTGCCTTGGCCCGGCAAGAGGCTTTCGGGGATTCCATTGGAATCACAAGATTCTAGCCCCTTGTAGGGCTGTAGTAAGGTAGCGAGCCGCGCCGGGACCTGGCGATTCGCGAGAGAAGAGTGAGAAGAAAAGTTGAGTATGATCGCATCTGATCGGGGACTCGTCGGATCTGCACTTTCCTCTTTCTCTCATGGCGCCCCTGCACCTTTCACTCGCATGCTGGGACTACGATCGCGTCAAGGCGCTCGAGGATGGACGGGTAAAACCAGAGGGTATTGACCTCAATTTCTTGAATCTGAGGCAAGCAGACGCTCCGAGGTCATATAATCCAAGTTTCTCACCTTTCCTCTCAGAGTCGAGGAAACGTAGGTCTTCTTTCCCGAAATCCATGGCGACAGCATTGTTCAATATTCTGCAGCTTCTTCCGACAACTTCGTTACCAAGAATTCGATATCAGCGAACTATCTCTCTCGTCGTATGTTGTACGCGCCAGAACTCATTTCGCGCGCTCGCTGAAGTACTCATTCCGATGCAGCTTACATTGAACAGCGAAGACCCTCCATTCTATGCACTTCCCGTTTTCCCGTCGCGCTTCTTCCGCCACCAGTCCATCTATGTGAACACAAAGGCTGGGATAACACATCCTTCCCAGCTTTGTGGGCGTCGTGTCGGCACGCCCGAGTTTCAAATGACTGCACCCGTGTGGCAACGTGGAATCCTCGAAGACGAATATGGACTCAAGTACGACGCACCGCACTACCTTACCGGTAACGTAGAACCAAGCGACGTTGAACGCAAGGAAAAAGTACCCCTGAACCTAGGGGATACCGTAAATATCCAGCCTATCCCCAAAGGTAAATGCCTGGCCCATATGCTCGCGGACGGCGAAATAGACGCGTTGGAGAGCGCGTCAGTGGATCGTCTTTCCCTCCTGTATGCAATTGCTTACGCGCCCTCTTCAGCACAGCGCCCTCTACCTTCGGAAAACACCCAGATGTTGGGCGTCTTTTCCCTAACGCGATGCAAGTCGAACAAGGTGATTTGGTGCCATCTCTTAGCTGCAAGTTTTAGTTAACAGCTTTCCGCTCCAAAAGAATATTTCCGCCGCACAGGAATATTCCCGATCATGGTCGGTTGAGGATTCAATTCACTTGTTTTTCCTCGCTTGTTTCTCCGCGATAATAATTCCCGGTGTTTGTAGCATGTGATCGTGGTGAAGCGGTCTATCTTGAAGGAACACCCCTGGGTTGCCCGCTCGTTAACGAAAGCGTTCGCTACGGCGTTTGAATATGTCGGAAATTTCTAAAATCCATGACAAGGCCTTATCGGGCCTTATAAGGCGGCAAGATCGGCCGTCACGATTAGACGCTTAGAAGATAAGCCAAGCACAATAAGATCAGATGCTCTGATAAGATGGCCGATCTTATCATGTCTTATCAGGCCTTTTAAGAAGAGGCCTCCCTCACAATGAAAAAGTTATCTTGTCCTGCACTTCCTTGCTTGACCATCTGATACCTCACCTTTTTCATTCACTTGACTGTTACATTTTACTGGCTTGATTACTGACCGTTAGGTTTCTAGTGACTTGTTTATTACTTCCTATTACATTTTTACTGACCATTAGTTTGCTACTGACGGATGTACTGACTGAGCTACTTACCATTACATTTTTACTGACCGAGTTACTTACCATTACATTTCCTTAATTACTTATTGACTACGGGATTCGAACGCTTGACCTTACAATTATATCACGTGATCGCTGTCCGGGATGCAAAACCACTACACCAAGCAGGCTTTTATACATAGGAAATGGATATATGCTTTATCCACTCCTTTTCGGACTTTCTGGGATGACCCTCGAAAATTTTCCTTCACCTCCCATGGACCGGAGTTTTATTGTAGCTGTTCAAATATATCTGCCTATGGTGTTTCAACTACAAATTTCAGCCCCAAACCGATTCCCAATGGCATCAACCTCACGCCCGCATTAAGTGCGCACCCCATGCCGACTGCACTATGCGCGCCAGATAATGCTGCTCCTCGGGTGGCCACAAAAGTTGGCACCCGAAAGGTCAGTCCCGTCCCCTTGTGCCGGGTCGCTTTACAACTCAAAGCCAGGGAG